AGGATTAAGTTGTAGTTGTATTTTCAGCCTAAATTACATTTCCTACAAACCAAATACCTAAGTCTCTAATGGAACAAAATGCCCAAAATGCATAGGAATGCTGTGTAGTAAAACTTTACTTAGTGACTACTATAAGAATATTCAGAAGTAACCAGCCCTGGGTGAATAGTAAACAGATGACAATTGAACAAGCAGAAGAAACAAAATGTCTGTTTCAGATTATCTTGAATTCAAAGGGATACTTTATTATTTGGACATTTTTCATTGATTAAAACCACGTGTTTGGGGTCAAACTATTAACAATCAATTCTTTGAGCAAATTTAATAAAAGCAGGATGCTAGATTCACAAAAGCTGCTGAGTACTGTAGACTTCCAGAAGAAGACCATGTTCATAACTTCAGCAGTTTCAGACCTGGGATATGATCACAGCATTCTGCTGAAAGTTCTGCAGTCAGTCCGTGTTTTGAAGCTGTTCCCTGTCTAAAATCTTAATCTCATTGGATGAGGGTGAGAATAACTGTCTTGATATCCGAGGTATTCCTTAGCTAACATAGGCATATAACATGGTATATTAATACTATAGACCTGATGTTTACAAATCATCTGGCTGTCTTAGGTTTGTGAGTTGACTGTAGTCAATGACATTGTTTCTTACAGAACAGGGGTAAGACACTGATTTTGCACTAAATATCTATTTCTTGGCTGCTGAGCAACTTCTAAAATAAGTGGGGAGGAGGGGAACAACAAGGAGAGCACTGTGCAGTTTCATAGGAAAGATTTGTAGTAAAAAGCACTGAGTGGTAAGCTGTGAGAGGAGATGCATGCAACTTACTGCGTTGGAAATGGGAACACAAATACCTCTTTAAAAAAGACCTTATTTAAACTTGAAGGAGGAAAATGGTATCGGTGGGTGACATTACCATAGTTTTGTTGCAGATAAAGCAACTAGAGAGAAGATATGAGGAAAATGTTGTCATTGTTTTATACTCAGCCCCAGTACAATGTCTGTGTTCTTATTTGCTTACTATGCCAAAATTTTTTGGTAAGTGGAGTAACTCTGGTGTGTTTTTAGAAAGTGCACGTACAACTCTAAAAGTGTGAAGGACACTCAAGCCTTATGCCAGTTTAATTTCCAGAAGGTTATTTTCTCTTTAAAAACCATGAACAAAGAAAGCCCTTTTCTTTCTGCTTCCTCTTCAGTCAATACCCAAACTCACCTTCCCAGGTGGAGTATTAATTGGTTGCAGTCCTGGACTCATGAATGTTCCTAAGATCAAAGGGACACATACTGCAATGAAGAGCGGCATGTTGGCTTCTGAAGCCATCTTTAACCAATTAATCAATGAAAATCTCCAGTCAAAGACAAAAGGTAAGATTTTTTGTACCTCGACGTGTAATTACCCTGTGCTCAATTAGAGTCACCAACAGCTTAGCAGTAACTAAATGTGTCTGAATAAAATAGTTGGGAATGCAAATAAATTGTGAAAAAGGTGTGCTGGTTTGAAAATGTATCTTCTGTTTATTTACTATTTATACTGTTGAATGATTTTAGAGAGAAGGAAATTAAGTTCTGTTTAGTTATTCTGAAGTACGTAACAAACTTGCTTTTCATCATTGCTAGGATACCTTTTTCCTTTGGTCCTCTTTTTCTGTCTCTATTTTTATAGTATTCTCTGTGTGAGACTATGTATATTTCCTTTTATATGTAGTGCAGGCACATTGAAGTAGTGGCCTGATCCTGACCACACTGCAGCCATTTATTTAAGCCCTTAAATCTGCTAACAGAGGCTGTACAGCGAGAGAAACCAGTGAGAATTTCAGTCATTCTGGAGATGGACGCTGTAGCCTGATGCCTCATGATTATTATTTGGAGTGGTGGATTCAGTCCTAGTGAGCTCTTGTTCATCTATAATATGCAATACACATTGCCACAGAGGGTATGCTGAGCAATTGAAACTAAAACTAGTGTAACAGGTTAAAATACTTAGAAACCCTCTGAAGCAATAAATGCTCTTACTGGGTAGTGTGCTGCTTTTGTTTGGTTATGGACAGGTTTTATATGCTGTCTGAAGTTTGGTCATGCAGCAGAATATTAGAGCCCACTTTCTTCTCTGTGCATGGATAAGGAGCGTTCTTCAGAGCCTGATGTGCAACAGAAAACATGGACTGAAGCATATTTTCATGTACGGGCAAGGCTTAAAACTTACTACATAGAACAATAGTAATGAAGAATGGTGAAGGGGAAGCTCTCAGAATATTTTCATTTGAAGAAAAGTGTTTTTTTTCTAAGACGATTACTTGGGTTTAACTACACTGCAGTAATGTGTTGTGTGTCATGTGTGCAGTGTCTAGTATATGTAAAGAATACAATCAAGGAGTTTAAATCAAGTTTGTGGACAAATACATCTCATTAACTTGCTGATTACAGAGGGAATGTTCTCTAGCACTGGCATCATCCATCTGGCTGTAGTCATAGTTACCGAAATCAGAATGTTTGTGGTTGCATAAGTTGTAAAGAAGAAACTTTTAAACTTGACAATTTTAAAACTACAAACCTGGCTCTTGGAACCCAGGTAAACTCTCCTGGTCAATTCTTGGATTCTATGAGGGAACAGATGTTCTCCCACAAAGATGCAATGTAGCCACCTGGCCAGTTATATTTTACTGAGGTCTGAGGCAATTTAATGCTGCTGGTGGGTCATTTCATAAAGGCTACAAAGGAGCAGTAGATACCTGCTGATAACTGCCAACAAAACACATCTCTTCAAGAGGCTGAAATATGGTGTGTAGTATATTCCTAGCTTCCTATTCTGAAATCCTCATTTTGCTGCCTTTATTGCTAACAGTTGTCTTTATACAGCCATTTTTTTTACTTCAGGAATAGTCTTCATGTACTATAGGTACCTAACCAATAATGTACTGCCTTAGGACTTCATGTGCAAGAATATGAAGAGAACCTGAAAAAGTCCTGGGTCTGGAAGGAACTGTATTCGGTTAGAAACATCCGACCATCCTGCCATAGCATACTTGGTGTGTATGGAGGAATGATTTACACCGGTATATTCTACTGGCTGCTGCGAGGAATGGAACCATGGACATTAAAACATCCAGGTAATTTCATTATCTCCTGAAAGAAGGTACTAAATGTTTATGTCAGTCTTTTCTGGACTCAGTCGAAGCTAGAGCACATCTGGTGAAGTGATGAGTGTAGAAAAGAAATAGATGGTAAGTCATTGAAGCAGACTTTGTCACATTACGTAGTATATAATGTAAATGAAGACATCAGAACACTGTCCTACTTAGCACAGTTTTTTGTCTCATGAAAAAGGCTACCTTGTATGAAATACTTCATTCTGATGACAAGGTAAGTTAAAATAGCTTAATTACATTAAGTTGGTTTAGTGAATACAGTTTAATTGAAATAATTAGATTTTCTTGAGTAACTGCAAATTCAGTATAGAATTACTGAAAACTTACATATTTAAAATATATTTAGGACCAGATTTTGCTCAGCTCAAGCCAGCCAAAGAGTGCACGCCTATTGAATACCCAAAGCCTGATGGAAAAATCAGTTTTGATCTCCTGTCATCTGTGGCTTTAAGTGGAACAAACCATGAACATGACCAGCCTGCTCATTTAACTCTGAAAGATGACAGCATCCCTGTAAGCAGGAATCTGGCTGTATTTGATGGACCGGAACAAAGATTTTGTCCAGCAGGTGGGTAATAAAAATGTGTGTGTGTGTGTGTGTGAGCTGGTTTTGCAAGGTGAAAGACCGAATACTTCAGGAAGAGTCCACCTGGCCTATGACTTACTTCATGCATTCTACCTAAATCCTCCTCCTAGAAGAGGGTTCAAGTGCAGGTCTTAAAATATGTGAACAGTACTTTCGTGATGAAATAATTAGGAAAGACAGAAGACGACAGTTGAATCACACTAGTAATATACTTCCCTCTTTGCACTTGCTGGTTAGTAGAGCATACGTGCAGGGGGAAAACTGTTCAGTGAAGTGACAGCTTTCTCTTGCTCTTCACAGGAGTTTATGAGTACATTCCCCTGGAAACAGGAGAAGGATCAAGACTGCAGATAAATGCTCAGAACTGTGTCCACTGCAAAACCTGTGATATTAAGGACCCAAGTCAGAACATTAACTGGGTAGTGCCTGAAGGTGGAGGAGGACCAGCTTATAATGGAATGTAAACTGACAGGAAATCTATTCAGTGACTTCTGATCACCAACAAATAAGTTGGGAGTATTTTATGCTGCAGTGTAATTAAAAGTACAGCACTGACTTGAATGTGTTAGAGTTTGAGGCTAATGTGCTGTTCTGAATTCTAGATACAACCATTGCATTAAATGGAAAGTTGGTGCCTTCTGGTCAAACCCTTAGCCTTATTTAAATAGTACTTCTTTACAGGAGTTGTGTGGCAGGCAGAAGAAAGTTCTTCTCAGGACTGACACAGGAACTTTGGATCTTGGATTTATTGCTGAAGTTCAGTGATTAACAGAGGCTATATCCAGAATTGTGGGTATGGTGGAAGAATTTAGTACGGTATTCTTGAAAAAAGTATTTTCTCTCTCTGGCTGGAGTGATTTACTATATGTAATCCTACCTTGCAGTACAGGGGGGAGGAAAAAAGCAGTGACAACTTTCTACACCCATGTAAAGTGTTACACATCTTACATCAAATTTACAGTTGACTTTTTTTTTCCGCTGATGGTAATACGGAGCCCATCTGCAATACAACCTGTAAAGTGCTTAAAAAAAACAAGTGTAATACTCGCACCTTCATTGTATGTAGTGTTTTTATTCCTTAAAAGACATCATAGCCTCCTCTAATAAAAATCCTAACAGGAACTGCCTAAATTGTCTTGGTGTGAAACCACGCTTCTTAGGAAGCATTGTTAAGCTGCAAAAACACAACCACTACTGATTTACACATAGAAACACACCTGAGTGGCAAAACACAAGTTATTACAGCTTAAAAATAAAAACCACTTCACCTTTGAACAGTTTGTCTTTATTATTAGACTTCTGAGTTGTAAACACTGAAAACTGCAGCACAGGGCAAATGAAAAAAGCAGCTCCATTTATCCTTTTGCATGAGTTAGTGCATAGATTTAGAAGTTTAGGAAAAAAATATCAAGCAAACATTTTAGCATAAGCTGCCTTCTCTTTCTCCTTCTGGGCTTTTATCTTCTGTTTGATTTTGAGTGTTTCCGTCTGGATAGCTGCTTAGGAAGAAAATCCATGATACAGTTATGGTAATCTCTTTACATTATGTCTCCTAATATGTCAAGACGAGGTGACACTGCTGCAACTTGCCCATTTTATTTCATTTAACAGAACTGCATTTAATCTTCAATTAGGTCAGATACACTAGCACCAAAACCCCTTGTCCCTAAGGTAAGGTAAGCAGGTAGAGGAGGATGTGGCAAGCACAGTACTGGTGCCAGCACAGAATTTATGTGCTAAAAATCTTGCACAATTAGACCAGGAAATTAAGTTAGTAAGACCCCTGTGAGGCAGGGAGGTGGTTGAAGCTGACCTACATGAGCAGGTTTCCCAGTGCAACAGAAGCATCACTGCTGTATAAAACCAGGTGAGAACACCTCAGTGGGCTCTGTCAGTGTTTAAGGTGTTAGAAGCCAGCATTTTGGGCATCACGCTGGTATGACTTCCTACAAAATACTACACTGGTTACTTTGTTACATTCTTAAAAGTAAGGTATTCATAAAGAAACAGCTTTATTTTACCTTTGTCTTCAGGGGAAATTTCATGAGCCTTTTTAAGATCAGCCTTCAATAAAAGAGAAATATAAATTAATGTTCTGATGAAGCCCGACCTAGCCAAGAAAAAAATTCTATTAAATATTATGATCATTACCAATGCCTGATCGAGATCTTTTATTCCCTGCCATCCTTGAGCCCGTCTGTAGAGAGCTTTAGTATTTGCTGGATCTATTTTAAGAGCCTGTAAATTTAATAAAATTGTCACGTTAACATTTCATATAATTCACAGCCTCCCATCTCCACAAATGGCACAGTTCACACCAGCAGACAGTATCTCCAGTTGGTTTGAGGGTAAGCTGTCAAAACAGTAACTGTGTAAAAAGGAATGCTGTAATGTAGCGCACTGAATAGCCAGCTAATCAGTTTTAATACCACTGCACCAGAAATGTTTTTTTGTGAAGGGCAAGCATACATGAGGATAAAATAGAACCTCTGTGTGTGTATGTATGTGTACATATATATATATATGTATCTGCTAAGACAAAGTTGTTACTGCAGTTCAAATTATCCTAACCTTGAGTCTAACAGTACAAGTCTGTATTGCAGCTCCTTCCTTCACACCAAAAAAAAACCCCTCAAATGGTGTCATAAATAAAATACACAGATTTCCTGTAAAGCTTTTTTCACTGTAGGCATCCAAGCAATCCATCTCATGCTTCACGAACCTTGCCAAGTTCCAGTCATTATGTCTTTTTTTTGAGCTGAACAGTTTCACTAATGTGTATATGCCAGTTCTAATAAGGCAATATCAAAACAGGAAATGGTGGCTGGGCAAAGAAGTTGTTCCACTATTTGTGATTACTTATTTTTTTTGAGAACCCCAGTGAATTTGGCTAGCTGTTTCCTTTTCTTGCTTGCGAAGATCACATTCTTCTTTCTTATTGCGGGTAGTTCTACAGTATGTCTTTTTACTATTTTAAAGAATAGAGAGGAAATCCATTTGCATTAATGTATAGCTTCATTGATTACACTTACTTACTAACTTTAAATCAGTAATTAAGAATTACAGACACTGGATGATGCATCCATTTTTACATCACTTCAGTACTGACTGTTAATAAAAAGACAGTATTACTCTGGGCAATCCTCCCGATCTCTCTAGTAAAGCCTGGAGCCTCTTCTGTGTCAAGAATTAGGAAATGAGGTGTCTGTATTGTGTACACATAGGTAGCATTCCTTGGTTTTAGCTCACCCATTGTGCTTACAGCTATTTTAAAGTGAGGTTGGTTTGAACAGGTTCAGCCATTTGCAATTCCTTATTTACACCAAATAACACATGTATTACAGATTGTTAATTTACATCGCTTTGGGCCTTAGGAAATCACAGAAGTGAAAAGCGTATGATGTCTCATTAACAATTGCTTTGAACTCTCCTAGTTAACCTTAGGAAACTGATGTTCTGATTAAAATTCTGATACACCGTTTAACACTTGTTACGAGACTAAGACTTGTTACCAGACATAAGCTAAGTACCTTACAGAAGTCTACTGCAGCAATGGAGTTGCCTTTATGTAACAGTTCTGTAATCTTAAAAAAAAAAAAATGAAGTGTGAGGATTTTTTTCCACAATGGCACATATTGTGGCTAATAATTCCCATCTGTAACAAATGCTGTTTCAATTTTTATGATTTTCTAGATGACAGATATTAACACTACACCGTTGTTGGGTTTTTTCTTTCCTCGTTCCCCATTTGTCCGTTCTAAATATAGGTTTATGAAAGTTTTCCATGTGGTGACACCATCAGCAGGCTAGAAAGCAAGCCAGCTCTCTGCAGACCCTCACTAACAGAAGGGCCGAGACTCCTGCTTTCAGCATGAAGCCTTGCAAGATTCTGCTCAGGATCCTCTGCTAACAGATAAGCACATTCTTTAATCAGTTCTTTCTACATTTCGGAGTTTTACTGAATTATCTAAAGTTTCTTCACATGTATTAAATTCTGTCAGTATGTCTATGTCACCGTTCCTTTTTCCAGCCCCCTTTGTTCTATTATTTTTCAATGTTTCCATATTTACTATTTCCTTCTTTCCTCCTATTCACTGATTTCATTCTACTAAGCCTACCTGAAAAGGGCTGTAGTTAGAATAAGGTACAAGACCATCAATCTAAAAGCAAGTAAAATGTTTTGCTCATGCTAGTCTTCCAGAGAAAAGTATTCCTCTTTCACTGAAGACAGTTTAACTTTGTAATATAAAAATCAGCTCTGCAAACCAAACTGACAGTGACAGTGTGCATTTTTTCTGGCAGTAAAGCAACACCCCTCTTTTGTTTGACTCTAATGAGCCATTTTCCATTTCAAGATCTTTTTTAAAAGCCATGCACTGGAAAGTTAGTAACTTCACAATCAGCCTTCTACTGTTTACTTCCAAATCATAAAGCTTGTGAGAAGACTCTTTAAAAAAGCTTTGCAGTTTCAGTCTCCATTTTCTATCTAGGCCAACTGTTCATCAAAATACTAAACATTAAATTTACCTCTGAACAACTTTCAATGGCTCCCTGCCAATCAGACAGTTTTAGTTTACAAGCGCCAATGTTTAGAACACAGGTCAGAGCAACAGTTTTTAGCTTTGGTTTGTCTGCCTCCTCTGCCACTGCTTCAGAAGCTTCTACATACCTGCAGAAAAAGAGATTTACAAAGCACAAGTGTTAGTGTTGCAACTTACATTTTGTTCCACATTTAGCCATCTTTTTACAGGTACGTGCTAACTGGCCTATCCAAAGTGGTATTTTTAAAGCAGCTTCAATTCCACTATTACAAGTATCTATTAAACTAAATATATAAGACCTGACAAAAAAGATTAACTCTCTGGTGGCGAACGTTTTCCTGTAATTCCTAGTCCTCCACTGTACTAACAGCGTTCTTTTTCTTAGACAAATGCACTATTTAGATGGCATGAAACCATTAGGATTTCTCTTAGTGACTGTTTATTCTCAAAAAACATGTTCCTCATTAGTGGCAAAAAGTCAACACCACCACTGCACCTTCCATGTTCATGGGAAGCTTCATCTCTTCTTCAGCTCTCTCAGTAATGTTTTAATTGGTGTAGGAATTGGCTAAAATCAGAAGTTAACTTTACCTTGGAAAGGAAGGTGGTTTGTGAGCATTAATAACTCTACCTTCTTTTCACTGGCTTCATGACTTTTTTCCTGAACTTCAAAACTGACACTAGTTCAGGACTGAGCCACATCATTTAGATCATCTCTGTTTCATAGGAAAACTGGCAGGCAAACTATATCTTGTTCTTCTTGACTTGCGATGTGCTAATGCTGTCAGTTTTTTATGTTGAGTTGCATACGTTCACATTTTGAGCATGCCATGATTAATGCTGTCTTTGCAGATCAGTGCCTATGTAAGTTCTATTTTTGCATGCCCTATGAGTGTTTCATGGTTTGTATGCAAGTTTGGACCACAGAAATAAGCAATACTTAAAAAGATGAGAACCAGCAGAGAGAGAAAAGGGTCAAAAGCTAAGGAGAGTTATGTTCAAAACAAGTATCTCTAATATTTATAAATCACACCAAACATGAAAGGCAATACGAAGTAATCTGTTGTGCGTTGTTTGGTTTTTTTTTTTAAAAAAAAAGTGTCAATTCTTACATATAAATTTTTAAGAAATGATGTTTAAGCACCAGTAGGAAAAGAAAAAGAAAAGAAAGTTACAATGGTTACTGTTGGTAAAAAGACACCACCACCACTGCCAGGATGGTTTGCTGGGTGAGTTGTACTTAAGACATGGGAGATACCTTGCCAAGAGCTATTCTATCAGTTCTGGTGGAGTGCCACGTGAAGTGCCAGCTAACATACGCTATCCTATGCGAAGTATTAGATTTTAAGATAAAACAACAGGGCATGTCCACGAAAGTATGACCTGTAAAGAAGAGCTGAAATGATGAGATCTGTTCAGCCTAGAAAAGTTAGTATCCCTTCAATCCACAGGGACAAATAGGCAGCAAAAAGAAGCTGTCTACTCAAACTGGAAGAGCCTTCACTGGATGTGCTTAAGAGTAAGCAAGAAAGCAATTGTAAGGGATGGCATAGTTATACCTGATACTGACCTAAGAATGGGGAGAGGAAATGGACAGATAGATGAAACACACAAAGCCTTAAAGATCCATTCCAGCCTCTTTTCTGTGTGATTTCTGAAAGGTTTACATAGATTATCCTATTTAGTTTGGGTTTTCTGTTAGTCTGTGAGGAGGTTTTTGAGGGCAGGGGGAAACACTGCATCTTGCGTTAGTATCTGTAATTAAAAGGTACACTTTTATGGCTCAGAAAGACATTATTTGTTTGAATCCCAGTCCGTTAAAAACTCATCTGAGGCATTAAAAATGCCTGAATTCTTTTTCTTTCATTATTGTTACTACTAGTTAACCAGTGATCACTGAGAAGGTAGGGATAAAGGTCAGTATAACTTAAAAAAAAAATATATATATAGGAGAAGCTCATATACATGAAGCAAAAAGCATGAAAAAAAGGAAAGGAGCAGTATGGAAACAAAAGCAGAAAGACCACTATTTTGAAGGCAGGTTTGAAGTATACATGGAATCAGGTTGGTGGTACGAAGCCTCAGAAAAAATACTGGCAATAAGGGCCACATTAGGGGGTACTCGAACTGACCTATTTGCTAAACCTACTGTTTTTCAGAAATCACAGAGAAAGTATCATCTCCCTCCTTTCCTATCCATTAACTCCTCTGTCTACTGTTGTGCTTTTCTTCCCAGTTATGCACCCGCACAGCAAGACTATTAAAAAAGGAGCATTTAGTCAGTTCTAAACAATACTTCCTGCCTATAGCTCTTACCTATAGCAAGACTTGCTTGAATAAGTAGCTAAAAATCAACTAGATCTTTTCCAGATTCAGAAGGCTCTTTGTTTAGAAAGAAAAGAGCACAGCAACAGGCACTTTTGAAATGCATATATCATTGCTTGGTAGCAGTATTAATTTGGGTTACCAGAACTACCTGATTGAATGATGATAGCCTTACCGTAAACTTTTACTATACTTTTTAGCTGCCAATGCCCAATTTTGCGATTTGAAGAAAGTATTTCCTATATTCTTTATGTCTTCTGCTATGGCCACAATCTTGTCAACCTAATAAAATAGATGGAAAATATAAAGTATGAATGTACTTATGAAAGAAGTCTTGAATAACTTAATGTTTAACCCAAGTCCTTCCTCTTTCAAAGATTATAAAATCTCAGAATAAAAACATTCCGATTGTAGACGAAGACTAACTTCAAACCACTCCCATAAAATTCTCTACTTTATGTAACACAATAGTCTGAAAGATGAAATTCCTAATGGGTTTTCTACAAGGGTGAGAAAACACCAGAAACAACATAGCAGTTCAACTCCTTCCCCTAGATGCTGCTACCCACAGAGAGCTATATATAAAGGTGTTGACCGTTACTCATGTAAAAGAAGACATGTTAACAACCAAAGTATTCAACCAAGAATGCCTTATTCCCCAGAAAAAACTTGTCTTCTGATTCTCAGACTGGTAAGAGTCCCCTGAACTCTGCATGCACTCAAACTAGAGGTTTTATCAACACAATTCTTCTATCAAAACACTTAAATACCTGTGAAAGGAGAAAAAGAACAACTGCGCGTCTTTATCAAATCCATTGTTTCTATTTCCAGAATGGTAACACTCCCAGTGTTAGGTTACTTTTCCAGGGGCAATGAAAGTTTATAATTACTGCTGTCTATATATACCACAGCTGTCTTAAGCTCTGCCAAATGTATATATTGCCATTTGTAATGCTATCAATTTACACTTCTACTCTACTAGAATTAGTGACCTTAAAAAAACCTGATTACAGCATGAGACCAATGTCACCATGGTTTCTGTAATTAGTTTATATGAACTAGTTTAAAATTAAAGAAGGCAGGCACCTGCCAAGTTCAGTTCTGAACTACAGCAAATGCTATCCAAAAACAATTTCACAAGCTGAAGTGGTTCTCAATGGCCAGATATAAGGAGTGTCTTGGTTTCTAGCTGTAATGTTTGTTTACTATTCTATTTTCAGTTCTCTATTTGGAATCTACATGTGCAGCCTCCTTTTTCTGCCCCTCTCGCAATTCACTGATTTAGAGTTTGTTTCACTTCATGATAAAGTAAAAACCTGCAGAAGAGATGCTTTTACCAGTCTGCTCCCTAACTCTCACCATCAGGTCTTCCTTCAGTTTGAACAATCTGAGCAGCAGACAACTACTGGGAACTGAAAATGACTAGCTCTGATGAAGTGAAAATCTTTTTAAAAAGTTGATCTTTTACTGTTTCTAGTAAGTTAAACAAAACCTTTTTAATGATGGATATTTTAAAAGTTGCACAGAAAAAGTGTGCGAGTACAACATTTAGTCATCTGCAGGATGGAGTTCCAGTAATTGCAATTTGTCACTACAGCACAAACGAGTAGAAAGAAATGAAGGACAGAAAAAAAAAAAAGTAAGTGTAGTAACTGTTAAATAATTGTTGTTTAAGTTAGTGGGGAAAAATCAGCTGCAATTAGTACTAGAAAAAAGGAGAGAGCAATCCGCTCCCACAGCATTCTCTTTCCTAAAACTGAGTATCACCATTTAATCAGGACCTTGATTGATTCTTAAGAAAAAAGGCTTAGGGAACATCATCACAGACACCATGTAACTCGGATTACCTACCAGTTTTACATTCTGTAAAATACCTTAAAGTTAAAATACTTACATCTTTCAAGTCCATATCTGAATCTTCAGGAAAATCTGGATGAGCATCTCCAGATCCATCCTGGGGCACAACTCCCCAGTCATCTCCTGCCTTTAGCTCTCCACATTCTGCAATGACGCACAACTGAAAAAATAAAGTGTAAACAGCAGTATTAGTTATTAAGACAGTTTCCCCCCCAAAAAAAAGCTACAACTGATGAGTGCTCTTTCAAATTCAGTAAAAATGCTTTTTCATCTGTTATTTGGGTGCACTGATTTCAGAAACCCATCACTTCATTAGTCTATCCTCATCACAGAATGGTTTAGGTTGGAAGGAACCTTATAAAGATCATTGAGTTCCAACCCCCTGCCATGGGCAGAGACACCTTCCACTAGAACTTGTTGCTCCACGCACCATCCAGCCTGGCCTTGAACACTGCCAGGGATGGTGCAGCCACAACTTCTCCAGGCAACCTATGCCAGTGCCTCATCATCCTCACAGTACAGAACTTCTTCCTAATATCTAATCTGAATCTCCTCTCTTTCAGTTTGAAGCCATTCCTCCTTGTCCTATCCCCACATTCCCCAGTAAACAGTCTCTCTTCAGATTTCAGAAGGCTTTTGTCACAGAAAGCACTGCGTTCAGAGGAGCAGCATTCCATGAACACCATACCCACGCTCCACAGAGAGGCTGAAAGAGGAACTGGCGTAAGGCTGAGCTGCAGCAAAACACAAGACATGGAAGTTCTACTGCATTAGAGAAGACAGTTCTTTCTTAACCTACCAAGTCTTTTAAAGTTACAGAGGTACTAATTTTTCAAACCACAAACTGAGCTGACCTACACACCAACTGCTTTTTCAGAAATACAAGAAGAATTTCATATCCCTTAGGTAGGGTTGTGAATTCCACCTTTTAATTCCACCACCCGTCCTAGACTTCTGGCTGTGCATTTCTACCTTCACCCTGGTAAAGGCTTCCACCCTCACAGCTGTGTTGAACAAGAAATAATTTTTCTGTGCAGGGGAAATTTACAGTGAAAGAACAAAAGCCTCTTAACAAGGACAGTAAAATGGAAATTAACTGTTCATAAGAATAACTAGCTAAGATTTAACAGTTCTAAACATTACACCAAGCATTTAGAAGAAATGAATATACATCATATAATGGAAGAATAAACATCACCTGTAGGTGCTCTGGACTTTGCTTACCTTAGCAGGAGTTTCTCCTTTCACTTCAACATTTTCCAGTATCTTAACTACACCCATTCCTTTGATCACTTGGCCAAACACCACATGTTTCTTATCCAGGTGAGAAGTAGGCACCGTTGTAATGAAGAACTGAGAGCCATTAGTACCAGGTCCTGCATTTGCCATGCTCAGCAGCCCTGGTTTATCATGCTGCATTGGGGAAAAGAAAATCACAACATATAAAAGATCTATCATAAAACCACACAGAAGATCCTGTAAGGCAGTTAATATATACAGCAAGGACAGCCATAATGGCAACTTGGTAAACCAGTTACATATAGTTAGCAACTAATTTTACCAATCATGACTGAAGAGGGCAAATACCCAGCTCTGCACCTTTACTTGCCACACAACAGTCTAGCAAGCAGAGCTGCCTGTGTGACTTGATGCTGTAACATCTGCCTGCTTCTGGTACACTCAATCCCTGCAGCGCTGCCAAGTTTGGACAGATCACCTGAGAGACATGTGAAGTTCCTCCCTGGATTACACTAGACCACTGGCCTCAAGAAACAAAGCTAAACATCACTTAAACCAACTTTAATGTTACACTGTGAAGATGGGTATGTATTGTTAATTTTATAAGGGCTGCTCACACAAAGTATGTCGTAGAACTGTGGGGTTTATGGGACTGTGGTCTTTATTATTTTAAGGGGGGAGGGGGGGAGAAGGTTAACTCCTTCACTTTCCTAGAGAGATAGTTTTTATTCTGTTGGGATTTTTAACCACCTAATTATTTTGGCTTATGCTCCCAGGCCACAAACTAACAAAGATTTATTAAACAGCCCAACACGAGAAAATATTGTTTATCTTGTTTCCTGCAAGTACTTTTTCCTTCTTTGAAATAAGAACTACCATGCACCACCACAGAGATTATTACATTTTCACTTGTACTGCAAAAATGTACTTTTCATATGTCTTGTGATTGTCTCGTTAAACTGGCATAACACAGTCATTAAGATGTTATTCTCCCTAGGCTGATCTGTTATTAAGTGCAAGGAACTATGTTTAACGTAAATCAACATGTTATACCACACATATATACTGAAGCATGCAAACTGTGGTATTCCTAAGAAACTTGATATTGTGGGGAAAAGGGGAGAGAGATCACCATAGCAGGTGTCAGACTTCAGAGAACATCTCTCACAACATCATTTAATAACATCATTAAATCTATGATGAATGTTTGGGCTACGTTTCCAGCTATTGCTCCAAACCTGGTAATGGACTTTGACTCCTGATTAGTATAGTATTACCATATTTTCTTTTCCTACAATACTGTTTGGAGGCAAACACAATTGTAGTCACGGCTTTGTTTCAGCCATGGGTCAACGATGCCTGTAAGTTTTTCAGTCAGTATTATTGAGGAGTCATTCATATGCTATCACATAATTAGATATATGAAGACAGTTAATGCCAGTGCTGAGAACTGTTACACCTACAGCTCCGGGTGTCTTGGCTGTTGCAAGGGGTACTTGTAAAACATGCTGGGTTTGTTGCTTCCAAGTAGTACTCCTATCCAGGTTCAAGATGTGATTACTCATAGTTCAAGCACATGGGATTTTCTGCCAGCCATGCAGCCCTTTATGTACAGCTGAGAATACAGATGAGCACTCAGAAACAATTATTATGGTTGCGATTTTTCTCCAGAACAGCTAAGTCTGCTAGCCAAAAAATGTAAGTCACAGTGTACAGGTAGTACTTAGATTTGAAGATCTTCAAACACTGTTTAAATTGTAGGCTTAAGGTGCACACACCTGCTGCACAGCATGGCAAAAAGCATTCTTCTTCCCTTTCTGGAATAGCCATTTTTAAATGCTTAAAATGCTAAAACGCTTAAGAAAGATTTTTTCAAAAGTCAATTTATGTCAAAAGACAGACTCTGGAGGCATCAAATGCATTTGATTTTGATAACAAAGAGAAGCCTGAAGAATGATAATGGACAGTTTGAAGGCTATGACTTTGCAAAAGAAACAAGAAAAGATACAGGATACACCGTGAGAAAACTGCTGATCTAAAATTGTACTTGTGGTGTAAAGCCCATGCACTTGCAGTCTTGCTGGTATCACTAGATGCTGATTTTGAGGACGAAGGCTGTTTCAGAATTTCCTACTCTTGCAGCACAGCTCCCGCCTCTCTTCACGCAGCTGGGCTGACAAAACTGCTTGTGGGACTACACTAACAGTTGCTAGTAATGAAATAGCAAGCTCTGATACAGGAGTGGGAATAAGTAATGGAAGGAGTAGGAATTTTTGCCATCGAAGACAGCATCTCTTAGAAAAGACATCCTCAAATCGAGGCCTTTGCATATTCAAAAACTTGCTTTGTTCACAGCACATTTTTTCCAACATTTTGGGTGAAAATAAGGCATTTGTAAACAACCTTTTACTTCTCGTACCATTGAAAATAACTGTAGTGGGGAAAATTTTATCCTTTGGATTAATTCTGCAATCTACCATGGATTCCCTACTTCTTATAACAGGTATTTCTCACATCTAATCTCATAAATGTTACTAGTATATGATAAAAAGGCATAAAATCCACTTAATGCTAACATACTGTGTATGCCTCAGAGTGACAAAATATGCCACTCTCTTACTTTGGTGAGAACTCAAATATTGTTTCAAATGAATTCTGATGGTGCAATTAGAAAGAAAAACTGAACTATGCTTGACTTTGTTCAGCGAGGTTGACCTCATTTTGCATGTATTCATACATGTATTTGTTCTGTGCTCAACACAGACTTTGAGGAGAAACTAGTTGGGGCTTTTTTTCTGCATTCGTTTGACTGCTTAAAAATTCATGAACCTTGGACTAAAGAGTGCTAATTGAGTTTCAAGAAAAACAAAAATCACTAAAATTTCAAAAACTGAACACAACTAGTATTTTCAATGGAGTACCTTATAATGAAAGTTTTCATCCTCAAATTTTTCACCATATATACTTTCTCCACCAGTGCCATTTTGGTTTGAGAAATCTCCACCCTGGACCATAAATTGCTTTATAACTGTAAAAGAAAATAATTATAAGATACATCAGCAAGGCAGGAAAGGCATGAAATAAAAACAATTTGGAGATGACAAGCAATCCCTGTCACCAGCACCCACACCTAAATAAAATCAAACCCCACCCTTTATTTATCAAGTGTTCCCTAAGTACTCCTTTTCAGTTGATATTTAATCCTTTACCTGAAATCCATTTCAACCTACTCACAACTCACACCAGACTAGTTATACCATTACTGACTTACTAGTGCATTTATATTTTACTATTTTCAATGCATGGTAAGAACATCTTGTCATTAGGATAATCAAAAAGCCAAAACCTTACTTTCAGTCAAGCTATTTCTTAAACAAGTGCTCCAAAATATTATTTAACATTATTTCGAATACTGTTAATGGAGGACTTCCGTTACCAACAGGAAAAGAGAGGATTTCTGAATAGAACTTACTTCTGTGGAAAGGGCATCCTTTGTAATGGAGGGGTTTTCCAGTGGTAGGCCCCGTTCCTTTCTCTCCCGTACATAACGCACGGAAATTTTCAGCAGTTTTAGGTACAACATCAGCAAATAATTCAAAGACAATGCGTCCAACTGAAATGACAGAGAATGAGACATATTTTTAAGTCCCATCCTTGGCATGGTGATGCATTACAGGGAAAAGGAAATTAATGTTTCAGATTTGACTATTTTTATTTAGATTATTATTCAATTTGCATTTTGGGGTTGTTCAATGACAACTGCTGGCACAGTTACAGTAGATTTTTAGCAAGGTTATCAGCAACAATGAATTCCACTACCAAGAACAGTTTAAGGGAAATAAAGACAGATTCTGCCAAAAAATGCCAAATGCATCTTCTGCCAGGAAAATGTGTGTAGGAAATCACACACATGTATAGCAAAGCCAAATTATATACTTTACCATGCATACTTACTTTATGTCTATTTTAACACACACATGTAAATTGTTCAGTCAAAAATAGACAAAATGTAAAAAGATTGGTTTGTCTTCTATATGATCATAAAGCTTATGCCAAACATGTACACTAACCTTACTCCTCATTCTCTTAAACCCCAATTTTACCAAGACACAGTAATACCTGAGAATGAATAACAGCTATTTACAGTTACAGATCCTGCAAGCAATTGTTAAATCCAAAAATGTACGTGTTTTAACAAAAAGAAGTGAAACCTGTGTAGCTAACAGATCCTGTAATTGTTGATAAATGGATTCTGTGTCAGATTCTCATCTTTCCACAAAGTGGCTACTCACGGAGCTATTTCTCACTCCTAGCAGCTGCCATCAGTTGATGATCCTGTTTTCTCATCAGCCTCACAGTCAATTAGTTAACATAACTTCACTCTACCGGAAGCTAAATGTAAATATATTCATTCTAATTAATACAGGGATGAAAGCAAATTAGAGAACTGAAAGTCAATAACCACAAATCCTCTTGCAGACTTGCTTAATTCTTTTAAGTAGCAGAATGAGTACACGAGAGGTACCATCTTGACAAAAAGGCAGCATCTATCTTCACCCATGCAAATGCTGAGAACCTGCGCTTTTAAGTATCACTCCAGCTCCCACGTTGTTGTTTTCCGATTTCCATTTTGACCGTTCGCAGAGATTCTCCACTGACATTCCTGCAACCCTGGCAACGCCAAGGGAACAAGCATGCCCGCCTGAGCTTTCACCTCCTCAGACCGCAGCTGCCAGGCTCAGCAGGTCCCCAGAGAGCGGCTGGTCACGGCCGGAAGGCAGAACCCCCAGCCTGGCTAGCGGGTCGCCCTGACCGAGGCCGAGCCCGGCGGCGCGGTGAGCAGGAGCGGGGGAGC